TTAAGTGATACAGGAGGTGAGTTCCCCAACCTGTATTTGAAGCGTCTGTAGAAATCACGATCCAAGATTTTTGACGAAAAGACAGGCCTTCTGTAATGAATTTTTCCCCTAGCCACCAAGAGATCTTTTCTTTTGTATGATAAGATATACTCATTAAAGCATCCAAGTCTTCTTTCCTTTGACCATTGGACAAGAATTTCCCACTGTAAGGGCCTTGATTCCGCTCTGGCCCATTTTACTGCCGGGATTGTAGAGGTCAGATTACCTAAAACCTGCATGGCTTTCCTCACCGAACATTCTGACATCCGAAGAAGGTTTTTTATTAAAATCATTTTTCTCTTGTCAGATCAAAAACCCTAGAAACAGGATAGACCTCGTAGGGGTAAGGTGTGATTTTTCTAGGTTGATAATCCAACCATGTTCTTCCAGGATTTCTAGCGTATAGGCCACATCTGACTCTAGAGCGCCTCTTGAATCTGCCTTTATTAACCAGTCGTCCAAGTAAGGTACTACTGTGATTCCTTGCATCCTTAAAAAAGCTGTGACCGGTGTGAGGAACTTTGTAAAAATCCTGGGTGTTGAAGCTAGCCCGAATGGAAGGGCATTGAATTGGAAATGATGGCCCTTTTTCCCTTTCCTTATAGCAAACTTCAGGTATTTTCTTGATTTCACATCCATAGGAATATGCAGGTAGGCATCCTTTAGATCCAAAGTTGCCATGAAATCTCCTTTTCGAAAGATATGGGTGACAGACACTATAGTCTCCATTTTGAAATGTTGGTAAGGAATGAGTTTGCTCAGGTTTTTTAGATCCAAGATTGGACGAAAAGACATGTCTGGTTTTGGGACTAGGAACAACCTGGAGTATACCCCTTGATATACTTGGGAAGTTGGAATCCTTTCTACCACACCTTTTCTTAATAGGGAGACCGTGGCAGAAAAAAGGGCTTGGGTTTTTTAACTTCGACCGGTAGGAGTAGACAAGGAAACACGGTCTTGGAACATCTAAAAATTGTATTTGGTATCCATTTTGCACCAAATTCAGAATCCATGTATTTGAAGTGGTCTCCCTCCATCTGTGAACAAAACCTTGCAACCTTCTGCCCACTCTGATGGCGTCAGAAACGTTTGTTTCTGTCAGACTTAGGGTCTTTATGTCAAATCTTGGATTTTTTCTTTGTTGACGAAAAAAAACTGTTTTTCTTGAAATCCCAGGCATATTTCCTGTCTTGAGGCAGAGCCTTCTTGGTTTCCGACATTTGTTGGATTAACTTTTCTAAAGGAGAACCAAACAACTTTTTCTTCTCCAAAGGCAGTTCACATAATGTAGATTTTGATGCAGTGTTTGCTGTCCAGGCTTTAAGCCACAGTGCCCTTCGGGCCACAGATGTCAAACCCATGACACGAGCCTAAAGCTTTATCACCTCCGTGACAATATCCATAAGGTACTCATTAGAAAACCTTAAATTCTGGAACAGGAGGGAAAGACCGTTGTCTTGGTTATCACCCAGACCCTCTTCCAAAGTGTTAAGCCAAAGATTCTGAGCTCTCATCACTGAAGCCCCGGCTAATGCTGCTTAAGACTGAAAACCTGCAGCCTGATAAGCCCTTCTGCTGGAAGTTTCAGCCCTCTTATACATAGGGTCTTTCAGACCAGAAACTTCACCAATAAGTATGGTAGTTTTTTTTTTTAGACAATTGAGCCACTTGTACATCAACCACCAGCAATTCTTCCCATTTATCTTCTTCCTCTATTTATGGTTCTTCCATTCTCTGAATATTAAATCCAGCATTTTTTGTTGGACTGGCAATGTTTTACCCTTGGATTTATCTACAGTTTCATCAGAAAGGATAACATTACCATCTTTAATAAATTTTCTCAACTCATCATGAGGAAATCAACCTCAGTAACAGAAGAGTCGCTAGAGGATTCTGAATAAGAACATTCACCCGAGGATAGTTCTGAACTAGATGGAGTTCTCTTTCCTTTTAGACTTCTGTTTAGTAGCTTTTACAGGAGAAGCTTGAGCAGGATCTTTAAAAGACTTAAAAGTCTGGGCCAGATTATCCCGAAACCAAGACAAAAAGGATTTAATCTCTTGTTGCTTGGATTTTTCTAGCGTCAAGGAAGAGCAAACATTACAGCCTTTCCTTTTAAAACCATCTGGTAAAGGAGTAGAGCATTCACTACAACAGAGATGTTTAGCTTTGGAACTGCCTTTTTAGAAGCAGGTGTAGGCACTTTGTCTTTATTCATATTATCAGTAGAGACAGGACTAGACATATCTGCAATACATAAGCAATAAATCATTTTGTAGAAACAATAAAAAATTTTTTTTTTTTTAAAAATGAGAGTTTTAAAGATGAGAGTCTAAAGAATCATACCTCTAAAACCTCTGACACGTGTGGGGGGGCTGGTGACATGGGAGACCTTCACTGCCGAGCATCCATGCTGACAGGAAGATCTGCACAGCATAAATAGGCAGATCCACGTTAAATTTGGCGCCATTTCGTGGAGTTCAGACCGCGCATGCGCAATAGCGTGGTCGGAACTCCGGTGGAACGCAAAACCACCCGGGCGTGCGTTCCACCGCCGTGCACATGCGTCTCCAACGGGCAGTGATTGGCTGCCACTAGAGACCGCCTCCCTGCTTCGCCGGTGACTGCACTCGGCATAAAAGCAGGCTTACCATACCTGCTCCGTAATCTGCAGGATGTTTTCTGGCCATTCAGCTCTCCACCCGGGAGGCTATCAGACCGGATCCCCTTGGCAGCAACCCATGTGCCCCACCATCCCCATTCCAGATGCCGTCCGTTCCTGTTGGAAGAAAGAGAACTGAGGTCCCTGGGCTGGTTGGGTCTCTTATACCTGGTAAGGGGAGGTACTTTTTATGTTAATTATTTATTTCAGATGCTTGTCCCAAGGGAAGAGTACATCCCTATTGTACTGCCACCATATGTCAGGAAAATAATGGTATCTTTAGAAAGACCATTTAATGGCGAGACAAATACAATATGTGTGGGTACAGTAAATGAGTAAGAGGAAAATTACAGCTATACACAAACACCGCAGAAATGTAAAAACAGCCCTGGTCCTTACCGGTAAGAAAATTGAAACGCACTCTCTAATTACACAACAGGACCCAACACAAGAACAAACGAGACAGGGAACCCATACCCCGAGACTGACTGCCTTGAGATGGGCACAAGCTTAAATCAAAGGGAAGCTTTCCTGCTAACTCGGGTCAAACCCAGGCCAAAGTCCAGGGGATGGCATCATTGATAGTCGGAGGTGAGGGTCGACAAAGGCCCGTGGTTTAGTAAAATGCAGTATTACCTATATGTTTTGCTACCTAGACCAATAATGCTTCACCTTTTATTGTAACATTTATTGAAATGATGACATACAAACAGGTTCAAAGCAAAAGTCTTGCTTTGTGAAACTAATGTTACACCCTGATGTTGTACTTTGATATGGTATTAATCTGTCCACTGTTCGTATTTCAATAAAAAGAGATTGAAAAAAATAATAATTGAAACGTTTTTCATTGGGTGTTGGTGATGGCTTGAGATGGGAATCTCACCATGCAGTCTATATACTTCATTCCCCAAAGGGACACTGCAGACCCCCAAAGAACTTTAGCGTGCTGACAAGCTTTGTGTGTGAAGAGGGTCTACTACTTTTTAATTTTGCACAAAGTGCAGATTTTACTAGACATTGACACTTATAAATTAACGTGGTTATACCCCTCTGGCTTTCAAGTAACCAGTGGAGTTAAGTTCAAGAGGCAGTAATTGCTCAGAGCACCTATCTTGCAAAGACTTCTCATTGAGCAGTGTTGGGAAATCTGTGATTGGACAGCCACCGAAAGTCTGGGCGGGGTTAGAAGGGGAGGGATTGCAAAGGTTTCAGACAAGAGATCTGCAGATAGTGCAAGCGGTTTATGTTTATATATATAAGAGGGCTGCACTCACCTGAACATGCATACATTATAGGGTGCTGTTGAGGCCAAAATATACAAAAATACAGAACACAGCGCACTGTATTTTTGTGTATATAAATAAAAATAATTGGGTTCCTTGCACTCATGCTCAATATTCATATGAGGAAAATGTTAAGTTTACTTGCCGGGTGCCAGTCCTTTGGGGATGTTGATATTCACCTAAATAGTGGAAGCATGGGCTGCACTCACGGTCTTCTCATGCAAAAATCCTTTATTTCATCTAATAACAAAAATCGATTATTGAAATACTATTTAGATATATATATCTCCCACTAAAAAAAAATATAATTAAATGCATGCATGTTTTTATTGGGGGTATATCTACTAAATAGTGATTTTTATTTGGTCAGTGGAGTGTCCCTTTAAAAACTGTCCTGAGTTGTTACACATGCCAAATTTGCAAGTTTCCAGTAAGGGTTCAGTAGTGTAAATAATATTGCCTGACATATAGTTTTAACTTTAGGAAAGGAAAACAAACAATAACTGGTTTTAGTCACACTTGCAGTGTCAACGACTACAGATTAATTTAAGTATATCAAACTTAGTATAGATTATCACAGGCATATAATGCCTGAAGCATTACAAAGGCAATGAAGTTTCAGATTTCACGAAAGCTTGGAGTACCGGGGCCATCTACCTGCATCTCCAGTCTAATCCAAGTCTTCTGAGCTCATGGGTGACATGCTGCATGCCAGCTATCCTGATGATAACTAAGTAGGTCTTATTGCGCTGGTGCATACTGAACGGACAGTCTGATTCAAGTCCCCAAATGGTACTTGGTTATTCTAGTAATACTGTGACTGAAAGTCCAGCCAGTTCATACATCCTACTCTTGTACCTAATAGCTGGATAGCTGAACCTCTGCTTGCCATACAGACAACTATTCTTTACTGCGAGACCTGACCACTTAATCTGACATTACTTTCAAACTTGTTTTACCCCTACTGGACGAGCCACTTTGCAATGATCAGCTCCCTGATAATGGATTTTGAAATCCCCAAGCTTTTTTCAGATCTTTTATACGTGTTCCTGTTATATATACGCACTATAATTTAAGATTTTCACCAAACTTCTAAAGATCCATTACTTAGATAGTTATGGTGCCAGGAGAGTTGTAAATCTTTACATCACATACTTAGCTGATACGATACGCCCTGCATTTGCAGGGAATAATGCAGGAGACCTACTGGAAATTTGTTTAGGAAAGTCAAACCATCCAAAAACAGTTTGGATGTCTCACAATAGGTGGGTGGGAGGGCACATCTGGCACAATGACCACTACATTGAGTTCCTTTAAGTAATATTTATAGGTTACATTATGCACCATTTATGACCCAATAAGCCTCTTCTGTTGAGAACAGTATACGGTTATGCTCTTTTATTATTTACAGTAATAGATCCAAAGATCACAGAACTTATCAGGTGTGTTGGCACCCAGAAAACACCTATTCCTATACAGCTATCATCCTACTCCACCAACCTTACTACTATTATACTACTCACAAAACTTGATTTGAAAGGCTATTGTTTTCTATATACTCTAATTTCAAGAGGAATATTTGATTTTAGCCCATTTAAGGGATCATCTCGGCTAATATTTTTTTCATAGAACGTTGCTATGTGCGCTACTCTTTCATGTTGAACTTTGCTTTCTGCTGTGATACAGTTCTCTGTTCATTTATATGTTTTGTATTATCCAAAATGATTTTTAAACATTAACAAAATGTCACCAGTGAATTTTTTAATCCTGCGCAGTATGATTTGTTTACTCAGTGGTTTCATTAAGGATTACAGCACAACTTTTTTCTTTCTTCGCTTCACAGTTATCTTGCTGCTGGGTACTACCATTCATATCCTCTCCCTAATGGAGATATTTAAGGCACATGTCAGGCTTTCTCCCATAGAAAGTTATGACAGATCTGCCGAAAGACATGTATTAGTTGTATGGTAAACATGCGCATGCAATGTATCTCACACCCGATATAGAGAAGTGACATTACTGTGTTTGTGTGGCAGTGGGATATACAGCTGTAGTTTATTGAGTGAAAGGAAACCTAAACAATGGACAATAACCTTTACAAGGAGCATTATTTGGTTATAGTGTTGGAAGTGAATCTTTAAGATAATACTTTAATATTTCTTTAATTGGCCACCACCAAAAAATACAAATAATATTCATGTTATAGAAATAGTCTATTTTGTGTTAGTTGCTACTTGTCACAGACAGTATAATAGTTAAACCCTGGAGTGATGCATACAGTAGGTTCTGCTGAGATTGGATTGTGAAAATAACTACACTATCTCTGTCCATCTATCCATATGTATTTGTTGGAGACATGATAAAGAAGGGATTGCAACCGTTTTCTTAGTTCTTCAATATCTCCATTGCACGTTTAACGCTCCACCAAAAGTGGTTCATTCGTGCCTCGATCCAATCAGAGATTTTTGAGCGGTTCCTTTTTTTGGCTCAAAGTCCCGAGTGATGCATTTTTCTCAGGTCAGGCTCCCACTGCAAACTCTCAAAACAGTCAATAGCATGTCCTCTATGTGCTCATTAGACATTGGTTCATCGCCAGTTCTTACCACCCATCGTTTGCGATAAAACAAAGTGTTTGGAAACATGAAACGCTCTTTCACCGATTCCTGCTTTATTTCTACATTGTGATTGTGGGCTAGGATTGCCAGCACTGTGCGAGCATCCAAAGAATCCATTCCAAAATCCAGTCTCTTGGGTCGGTATTTCAAAAACATATTATGAAAAGATCCTATTGCATCAGTGTGACAAAAATGGACTAAGCGTATTAAATCCTTATGAAGCTGTTCATCAGTGACAAACAAAACCAAGTTTTCAAATGCTGGGCTATTCTTTGCAATCCATTTTGTTTTGACATTTTCTTCTGCTGAGATTGGATCGTGAAAACAACTACAATATCTTTGTCTACCTACCCATTCATGCTGGCCGGAGACATGATAAAGAAGAGATTGCCACCGCTCTCTTAGTTCATTAATCTCTCCATTGCACGTTTTAATGCTCCACCAAAAGTGGTCCATTATTGCCTCGATCCAATTGGAGATTTCGGAGCAGTTCTTTTTTTGGCTTAACGTCATGAGATTTTTCTTTAACTCCTTGGCATAGTTCCATACGTTGTACTGGTGATCAATGTCCTCATAATGTTCTTGCATTAATTTTTCTATGCTTAAATGTTTGTCTGTTGCTATAATATGTACATCAAGATTTTCAGTACGCAATCTATCCAGACACATCTGAAATCCTCTCTCTTCTTTAGTAACAGATGAAGTACCTTGATAGACTTCAACTACTTCAAAGTCTACAATGTTTTTGCTGCCAACATCTATAAACGTGTACATGCAATACTTGTGACCAAGCTCTGGGTTCTCATATTGCCTGTTCCCCATTAAACACAGTGGCCGGTCTTTACAAACTTCTTTGACTCTATCTCTCTCTAATTGCCAGTGATAATAGATGGAACCGTACAGATAGCGATGTTGATATCGACAATAAGCAGACTTTGAGATTTGTTGTAATCCGAAGATGTGCAGTAGCTCTTGCACCTTTGAAAAATGTGACCCACTGAATAATATAGAAGCAGCTAATAAAATATTGCCTGCTCCAATTTTAGAAATCTTGGGTTGGCTTTCCCACAGCGAAAATTGATGGCCCTTTTCACAAGTAGCAGATATATGTAAGTATGTGCCCTCGGTTTTTTTCTTTAAATCTATTATTCGTCCTTTGCAGTTTAAGACACTTTGACAGGTAACCTTATAACAGAGTGCATCAATGCAGGACTCAAAAACTATGAATTTACGTTCATTAATCAATTTTTGTGCCGACGACTTCCTCAACTCTCGGGGAGAGGATTCTAAAGGACGAAACCTCTGGTGAGCATCATTTAGATCTTTTGATAAAACCCTGGATTGTTGAGAATATGCTAAATGCAGTTCTTCTGAATGTGGAGACATTTCAGCCTCCTCATTAAATGAATTTGTTGGTGACAAAGGTTCTTCAGAAGACTGTTCAAATAATTCCTGTTCAAATTGTGAGGATTCCTTTGATTTAATCAGATTTGACTTTCTTTTCCTTTTTCTTTGTGTTTTTGAAACACTTGTATTGTTCACCATCTTGGCATAGCAATGTTCAACTGACATCCTCTTTGATATGCTGGTGTGAATGTGTTGGGACGACTTGGACAATTCAATGGCATCTTTTAATGAGATGCTTTCTGTTTGGGTACTAACTTCTCTGGTGCAAACATAATCATTGGTAGATGTTGAAACATCACATAATATTTTGGTAAAGCTCAGCAAGTCTTTGATACTGGTTGGTGTACACATTGACAGATCTGTGTGCAATTTAAAGCACCGCTTAAAAAACATATCTTCATCTATGCATGGTAGTCCAGTACCAGTTGGAAATATAGTAGGAATTGCGTACTTGTTGAGAGATTTATGGGTACCATTTATTGTATAGCAATCTTTTGTAAAGTGCCTTGAGCAAAGTCTGTAATTGTTATTTCGTTTACCATCACATATTGCTACGACAACTTTATCAATATCCCTGAAATGTTGTCTAGTTTGCATGAGCCACAATTTTACCCTCTCTGGGTCTTTGGGAAAACAGTGAAGCCTCACATCCATGTCTGGGTTGTTCTTTACAGGCTGACGGGGACAACCGAAAACCACACAATTTGGCATTTTGACCTATAAAAAACAAATACATGTATATAATTGACTTGCAAAATAACAGAGGATAGATGGAAGGCTTTGAACAAATTCTACAAAAGTAAATTTCTCTCTGCATACCATTAGGAAAAAAGTATAAACTTATATTTGTTATAGGATGCTAGTGAACCATCCTATTTATTTTTATTTTTTTTTATTTATAGTTTTGAAGCGGTGGATGTTACATCAGATATCTCTTTGACATTGGTTATTGTTGATATCACATATTGTGTCACATATGCAGTTGTTTGTCAGAGGAATTGCATACAGGTTCATCAAGTCAATTTTTCGTTGTAAACATCTACAGTGCATGACCTTATGTGGTCCTACAGCGAGTAGGATGCCAGTTCGTTGAAACCGGTGCACCTTTTATATATATATATATATATATATATATACACATACATATATATATATATATACACATACATATATATATATATATATCATAACATAATAATATAACATAGTAAGGGGTAGGGAAGGGGAAGATGGGGGGGGGGAGGGAGGGGGTGTTGTCAAGGTATGCAGTACTCATTACCTATACTTGTCAACTTCTATGTGTTTATTGCTATAGGAGTTGGCTCATGTTTATCACTCATGTTTATCACTGTTTGGGGGTGAATCGACTACGTGTGCCTCCCACATCTCCCAGGCCGCTACCCAAAATTTTTGTGCAGGCCTCGTCTTCCTGGCCATGGTTTCATATTGTTTGGTTGATTCTATGATTTGGATGCATGCTGACAGTTGCGGGGTGTGCACCGACAGCCAATTCCTACCTAATCAGTTGTAGCGCCGCTATCAGTATATGGTATGTGAGATATTTAACAGATTTTGCTATGTTTGGTGGGAACAGTTGTAGTAGGTATAGTGCAGGCTGAGGCGGCATGACTACCTTTGTGGTGGTTTTTATCAATTTGGAGATTTGTGCCCAAAACGGTACAATTTTTGGGCATGACCACCAGATGTGGTATGTAGTTCCTGGTTGGTCCATGCATCTCCAGCATTTACCTGTGGATTGGGTGTTTATGTGTTTTAACTTGGTTGGGACAATGTGCCATCGATATAGTAGCTTTCTGGATATTTCTACGTGTGAGGAACACATCGATAAATTTTTATTAGCTAGAATATGTGGAGCCACTGTGTGTCGGTTAATTTCATATTTAGGTCTAGTTCCCAGGCTGAGATAAACGAGGGTTGTGTGAGATATGCCTTGCGGATGATTTCGTGGTACATTTGGGACATAGGTTTGGTTGGCGGTTTGGTTTGCAGACACATTTGTTCAGCAGTGGACAATTGCCTGGGTTGCCCGGGTTGGGCATTTGGGGGATGGTGTTTGTGGAACCATGATTTTATCTGCATGTGTGAGAAAAGTAGTGACCGCGGTACCTGGTATTCGGTTTGTAGGTGTTCAAACGAGATCAGTTTGCCTTTATCGAGTAACTGGTAGAGGTATG